GAGGTGGTTGGAGGCAATGGGTTGGGTACGTTAGGGAAATTGGTAAGTGCACCTGTTGTGATGAGCACCAGGTGTTGTACAGAGGTGCTGAATCACTATTTTGTACACCTGATACTGATACCGCACTGTATGTTAACTAACTGGAATTCAAATAAAAATTTATAAAAAATGAAACTGGGCAGAGGAATTGAACAGACGTTTTTCCAAAGAAGGCACACAAATGGCCAACAGATACATGAAAAGGTGCTCAACATCACTATCCATCAGGAAAACAGAACCCTCTAGCTCCATGAAAACCATGAGCTATTCCCTGACACCTGTTAGAATGGCCATTATCAAAAAGAAAAGCGAAAGGGGCCCCTGGGTGGCTCAGTCGGTTAAGCGTGCCTTCAGCTCAGGTCATGATCCCAGGGTCCTGGGACTGAGCGCCACATAGGGCTCCCTGCTCTGTGGGGAGACTCCTTCTCCCTCTCCCTCCACCCTTCCCCACAGCTTGTGCTCTCTCTCAAATAAATAAATAAAATCTTAAAAGAAAAAAGCCAAGAGATAAATGTTGGTGAGGATACAGAGTGAAGGTAACCCTTGTGCACTACTGGTTGGTGGGAATGTAACTGATACAGCCACTATGGAAAACAGTATGGAGAGTCTTCAAAAACTTAAAAACAGAATTGCCATATGAGCCAGCAATCTCATTTGTGGGTATATATTCAAATGAAATGAAAACAGGATATTGAAGAGAGATCTACACTCCTATGTCATTAATTCATAATAGCCAAGATCTGGAAACAACCCAAGTGTCCATCAATATATGAAGGGATAAAGATGTGCTATTTATATGTATCTATATATATAATATATTTATTATATATAGTATTATATTATTCAGTCATTAAAAAGAAGGAAATCCTGCACTTGCAACAACACAGATGGACCTTAAAGGCACTATGCTAAGTGAAAAAGTCAGACAGAGAAAGACAGAAACTGTATGATATATATGTGGAATCCAGAACAGCCAAACTCATGGAAACAGAGAGTAGAAGAGTAGAAAGGTAGTGATCAGGGACTGGAGAGTGAGAGAAATGGGGAGATTGTGGTCAAAGGGTATGAACTTCCAACTAGATGAAGATGTTCTGGAGATCTATATGCACAGCATTGTAATGATAGCTAACAATAATACCATACACTTGGAAGTTGTTAAAAGAGAAAACCTTAAATGTTTTCACCGCAAAAAGTAAAGGCAATTACGTGACAGGGCAGAGGTATTAGCTAATGTATAGTGGTAACTGTTTTGCAATATACGTGCATCAAATCAACACACTACAAACCTTAGTAAACTTACACAATGTTTTATGTAAATTATGTGTCAAAAAAGCTAGAAAAAAAATAAATCCTTTTTTCAAGAAAGAAAAAAGAAAGGAAAGGTAAAGGAAGGAAGGAAGGAGGGAGGAAGGATGGAGGGAGGAGGGAACAGGAAACAAGAGTTCTTGGGAGAAATGGTTGATGGGGGCGGCGGAGGGGCTAGTGCAGGGTACAACAGCCAACATGAAAGTGTTCTCAATAGCTAAAACTGGATTAATTTGAGTAGTATTGCTTACAATCCAAAGAATGAAATAAATGCCCTGGAATCCATACTGATGTACATTAATAAAGGAATAAATAAATGGAGAAGGAACAATAGCTCTTGCTTATAGAAAAATTCCACTTAATAGGAATGAAAGAAATATAAAAACTCCATTAGAATACCAGAGTAATAATTGCTACAGGCAAGATCCAGTGATGGATGCTAAAATTAGTGATCAAAGTTTAAGCAGAAACAGGATGTTTACACAGTCTACCAGTTTCTCCCTCAAATACCTAGTATTTAAAAAGGAAAAACAGTAACTGCACAGTGGAGAATCTTGGTAGACACCACTGCAGCCAAGTGATCAAGGTTAACATCACCAGTAATGCATATCAACTTACTGTGCTGCTCCCTAATGAGATGCACTGAAAGTGCTGTGAATAATGTTAAGACTGATGAATCACAGGCCTGTACTCCTGAAATAATACATTATATGTTAATAATTAAAAAATCTTAAAAAAAAGAAAAAGCATAATCTCAATATACTCCTCAGACATCAGGTAAAACTAAGTAAAAACTTTCTCCAAAATAAGTAATCACTTCTCTTCAGTGTCAATGTCATAAAAACAAGGACAGCCACAGATTGGAGAAAGAAAGTAGACATGACAACTGTAACACAAGGTGGAATCTTGGTGGGATCTTGGATTGGATCTGAAGCAAAAAATGTTCGATTGTGGAAAAATCAGGTGAAATCCAAATCCAAATCAGTTTATATTTTAGGTATAATTTTATATGAAGGATAGTTTCTTAGTTTTGGTTAAATATTTTATGGTTATGATGTTATGGCAAGATGTTAACATAGAGGAATCTTTGGTAAAGGATATATTGGCAACCTCTAAGATATTCCCCAATGATCTCTGAGTCCTGGTATTTACACCCTTGTGTAACCCCGAATCCTTGAGGAAATAGTGATTCATTTCTACTAAAGAGAAAGTGGCAGAAGTGGTGAGATTCACATAGAAAGTTAGGTTGCAAAGACTATGACGTTTGTGTTGGGTATCCTTCCTTGTTCTCTCACATGTTCACTCTGAGGAACATCTGGCTGTCATATTTGTGCTGCCATATGGAAGGAAGGGAATGATGTCTCTGGCCAATAGCCATGTGAACAAGCCTGGAAGCATATCCTCTCAATCAAGCCTTGATATGGGACTACAACTGCAGGCAATACCTTGTTTGCAACCTTGTAAGAGACCCTGGGCCCAAAGCACCCAGCTAAGCCTCACCCAGATCTCTGACTCATAGAAACCCATATTAATATTGTTTATTACATTTTAGAGTAATATGTTACACAGCAATACATAATACAAGAAATCTTCCTATTTTTTAACACCTCTGTAAACTTAATCTCAAAATTAAGAAGTTTTAAAACAATACACACATCCTTACACATTTTATTCATATATATACACACATATGTATACAGATTAGAGTGTGTGTGTGTGTGTAGTTTGAATTACTGTTGTTTTTTCTAAAGATTTTATTTATTTGAGAGAGAGCACAAGAGGGCAGAGGGTCAGAGAAAGAAGCAGACTCCCTGCTGAGGGGGAAGGCCAATGTGGGGCTCCATTCTGGGACTCCAGGGTCATGACCAAAGCTGAAGGGAGATGCTTAACCAACTAAGCCACCCAGGTACCCTTTGAATTACTATGGACTCTAGAGTCAGACAAACCTAGATTCAAATGCCACCTCTTAACACTTAATAATAGCCAAGCACTCGTACTGGGCCAAACATTAAATTTCTCAGTATTAAGATTTTAAAATCCTGATGTTTATATTAAGTATAAAATGATATCCACATCCACTATAACAGATGGCATTTAGTACGTTCTAGAAAATGGCATTATTATTAGTTTATATTTATAGTCACCTATTATTTTCTTCTCATTCGAGGAATTCAACTCCAATTCAGTATTATAATACTGAAAGCAGAGACTGACCCTGTTTTTCAGGCCCAATCCAATCTAAATCACTAAGTTTTAGAGCTATCAGGGGCTTTCCAGCAGCTTTTCAAGCCTTTCCTCCCACCATTATCCACATATGAGTACCAAAGATATTAAATGACTTGTCCAGGAGAATAGCTGATAGAGGAGCTGAAAGCAGGGTTCAAGATTTGGGGAGACACTACCATGCAGTGAATGACCTCTTGCTTTAAAGAGACTGCACTAGAATGCCTATTCTGTTGCTTACAAACAGCAGTATGTGTGGGGGCACCTGGATGGCTCAGTTGGTTGAGCATCTGACTCTTGGTTTCGGCTCAGGTCATGATCTCAGGGTGTGAGATTAAGCCCTTGTCATGCTCCACACTCAGCAGGGAGCCTGCTTGAGATTTTCTCTCCCTCTCCCCTGACCCTTCCCCCCCTCAAAAAAATAAATAAATAAATCTAAAAAAAAAAAAAAAAAAGGCCAAAAAAACCCCCCAAACCCAGCATTACATGAGACCATACTGTCTGCTGACAAAGTAGCAATATCAGTGTCTTGGTTTCCCAGAGAGTAAAAAACCTACCTCATAGGGTTATCATGAGCATTAAATGAGATAACATACAGAAGTCCCTCACTGCCGTGACCACCACACGTGGATGCTGAATATACCTTTTTTTCCCTTCCTTCTTTACGAGCCCAGGCTCTTCACTACGATATGCTGCCTTCTCAACTATCAGGTAGACCGTGAAACACGCAGGGTAATTCTGTTTAGCTGTATTTTAAAGGATTCAAAATGTAAAACTGAATTAATGATAGTCTTAAAATTAGTCTGAATAGTATAAACCTAATGCATTTAGTCCTGACCTAAAGGACTAAAGGTTTCCTTTCCTATAATACACTGTAAAGAGGGGTATCACATCAAAGAGAACATTGTATTGACATGCGTTACCGGTGATGTCAGCCTTGACAACTTGACTAAAGTGATGTCTGCCAGGATTCTCTGCTGGAAAGTTACTTTTCATTATAAATACTAAATATTTGAGGAGAATCATGAAATGGAAACCGAGAAGGGAGAGAGAGAGAACATGCACAAGCAAGCAAGAGAGTGAGCACATGCACATATCCCAAAGCCTGGTGTTCAGCGTATTTCCAATACAATAAACAATTAGTAAATTGCACGATGGGATGATCAAAGACTCTTCCCAAAGTAATGCGATGTTTTGAAATACTCAATGCCAAGTCTTGTCAAAAGCCCTCTGAAATTATAAATACATTACTTTCAGACATTCTCTTTTACCTAGGCATTTATGTCTTGAAAGACTTCTAGAAGAATAGTCAGATACAACCTCCCCAAAGAAAAACTGTACTGCCTTTCCCCCAAGAACTTACATTTGCTTAAGTATTTAAAACCCTCTATCACAAATTCCGCCAGCTTGCTTATCATCACATTGAGACTCACCGATCTGCAGATACCGGAGTCCCTTCCGGACTGGAATATCCTTCCAAATCTGAAATGTTCACTTGTGTTTGCCTTGAGGTTACTATCTGGCTATTCTGAAAAAGTATGGTTTTCAAGTCCTGGGAAATAGTATCACTATCTGGAAGAGGAGACTGTACAACTTGGAAGTCCGGTGAAGATTTAGGTCCTAGAAAACCTAAAGATTGTTGATTCTGTGCTACAGGTTCACTGGTCAATAATTTGGAGGTTGGTTCCAATGATCTTGAAGATATAGTTTGTAGGTCAGAGTTAAACTCACTATTCATCCTTGTTTTAGAAGCAGGATCCAATGAGTGAAATCTTTTATCTAAGGTTCCACCATCCAACCTGGAAGGAGTCTTGGGATAAAGAGTTATACGAACACAAGAAAGTGCTTTTCTATTTGAGGGTGGAGTAGATGTAGATGTTACTAATGTACACTGATTTGGGGCTGACTGGGACACCACATTATCGAACTTGGCTTCAACATTTATCATATTGGAAATGTATGATCTAAACTTATGCTGGTTATTCTTTTCTACTATATAATCCTGACCTTGAGGAAGAGGGGAATGGTATTTCCCCATGTGATCTACATCTGGGGTTTTGCTTTGTTCAAAGAGCTGACGTTGTTCAAGAAAAATGGAAGAAGGAATGTCTGAAGCTATATAATCCTGACTTTGAGGAAAGGGACAGTGGTTTTCTCTCATTTGATGATCTAAATGTGGGGTTTTGCTTTGTTCAAAGAGTTCTCGTTTTTCAAGAAAAATGCGACAAGGAAGGTTTGGAGCTAGGTAATCCTGATGTTGAGGAGGGGGAGAATGTTTTCTCACATGGTGATCTGCATGTGAGGCTTTGCTTGGTTCAAAGAGCTCTCGTTGTTCAAGAATAATGTGCGAAGCAATATCTGGAGTTATAGTTACATTCTTCTCTTTTACTCCTAGTGTGGAACTTGGTCTGTTCATTCTAATGAAGGTATGGTTATCAGAAAAATGAACTTCCTTGACATCGCTACCCTTTTCACTGGTACTGGGCTCAGAATCACTGCCTTTAAAATCTGATCTTTCTAAGAGTTTTTCTTCTTGCTGAGAATGTTCAACAGATAGTTTTTGGCTTTGCCTACCACTTTCTGCTAAGATAGTCACAGCTTTATCTGGTGAATGACTAACAATTTTAAATGACGAAGGGGAAGAGGTTCTCTGTTCTAGATCTTTGGGAGGATTTTGCTCTTCAGTGAAATGAGAATTAAATACCCCCACAGATGCTCCAGTACACTGGCTACCTTCAGTAACACCAACCTTAAAAACAGAGGAATCTGAAAAGCATTTAGAATGTCGGTGAGATGAAAAAGTGATGGAAGTAGTAAACTTTTTCAAGGGTTCTGGGGGCAGCATTTGTGATGAAGAATGACAGTCCATTTCTTCAGATGGCACACAAGCAGGTTCTACTAATTCTGACAGCCAAGGGTCTATCTTTTCATGGAATGGCATTCGAAGACCCTGGCTAATTCTGAAGTCATCAGCTGTAAAGTTTTGAAATGGGGAATGACTTCGTAACTGCAAGGAATTCCAAACTTTGAAATGGGGGTTACTCTGGTCTAGTGATTTGGAAAGGTCGATGTGTCTGGTTCTCCATGATGATGGACTCCGTTGTCCTCTGATCATTTCTGAGGGGTCAGCAGATCTGAAAACACAAGGGTGACTATCCAATTGTGGTTGTTCAGCAGTTAGAGTCCTGAAACATCCTTTTTCATGGCTCTCAATAATAATGTGACTACATACAGCTTCTGGCTTGCATCCTATTCCCCGTGGACTCCGTACACCCTAGAAGATATAAACAAGTTCTTACTTGTAGTCCGAATAGTTATATAAACCAGTTACATAATCCAGGCTAAGATTTAACCACGAAGGTCCTGTTGATCTATTACAATAGAACAGGTAGGAACATAACAAAAAGGACAGTTAACTATAGGATAAAATGGCTCATGATAACTAAGACCACATAGTTTTTTTTTTTTTTCCCCACCAACGGTACGTTTATTATTTTTTCTTTTTTAAAATTTTTTTCATTTTTTTAAAATTTCTTTTCAGTGTAACAGAATTCATTGTTTATGCACCATACCCAGTGCTCCATGCAATTCATGCCTTCCATAATACCCACCACCAGGCTCACCCAACCCCCCACCCTCCTCCCCTCCAAAATCCTCGGATTGATTCTAAGAGTCCACAGTCTCTCATGGTTCATGTCCCTCTCCGATTTCCCCCAACTCCCTTCTCCTCTCATTCTCCCCATGTCCTCCATGTTATTCCTAATGCTCCATAAGCAAGAGAAACCATATGATAATTGAATCTCTCTGCTTAACTTATATCACTTAGCATAATCTCTTCCAGTCCAATCCATGTTCTTAAAAAAAGTTGGGTATTCATCCTTTCTGATGGAGGCATAATACTCCATAGCATATATGGGCCATATCTTCTTTATCCATTCGTCCATTGAAGGGCATCTTGGTTCTTTCCAAAGTTTGGCGACTGTGTCCATTTCTGCTATGAACATTGGGGTACAGATGGCCCTTCTTCTCACTACATCTGTATTTTTCGGGTAAATACCCAACAGTGCAATTGCAGGGTCATAGGGAAGCTCCACACTATTTTCCAAAGTGACTGCACCAACTTGCATTCCCACCAACAGTGTAAGAAGGTTCCCCTTTCTCCACATCCTCTACAAGACACGTTGTTTCCTGTCTTGCTAATTTTGGCCATTCTAACTGGTGTAAGATGGTATCTCAATGTGGTTTTGATTTAAATCTCCCTATTGGCTAGTGATGAACGTTTTTTCTTGTGTCTGTTAGCCATTTCCATGTCTTCTTTGGAGAAGTGTCTGTACATGTAAGACCACATTGTTAATTTCTTCTAAAAATGTTTCACTAGAGGCGCCTGGGTGGCTCAGTGGGTTAAAGTCTCTGCCTTTAGCTCAGGTCGCGATCCCAGAGTCCTGGGATGGAGCCCCACGTCGGGCTCTCTCCTCAGCGGGGAGCCTACTTCCTCCTCTCTCTCTGCCTGCCTCTCTGCCTACTTGTGATCTCTGTCTGTCAAATAAATAAAATCTTTAAAAAAAAAATTAAAAAAAAAAATGTTTCATTAGGGATGCCTGGGTGGCTCAGTGGGTTAAGCCTCTGCCCTCGGCTCCGGTCATGATCTCAAGCCCCACATCGGGCTCTCTGCTCAGCAGGGAGCCTGCTTCCCCCTCTCCCTCTGTCTGCCTCTCACTTACTTGTGATCTCTGTGTCAAATAAATAAATAAAATCTTTAAAAAAATTTTTTTTAAATGTTTCACTGAACTAACAAAAGTAAAGACTACTTTGGTCCCTCAGTATCCTCAGCTATTTGCTTTTAGTAACAGAGGTCCCTTACCCCAACTTTTGCTGGTCACATGGCCACAAAACTGGAGACCTTTCCAGGTTCCTTTACCTAGGTATGACCGTTATGACTAGGTTTAGGCCAATGGTATATGAGCAAAAGCAGTAAGTATAAATTCTGCTTCCTGTCCTTAGAAAATCAAATTCTTGACCTCCATGTTCCCCTACTACCACCATCACTACCATCACCATTACTCTTGCCAGCTAAAAATGGTAATATCTAGAACAATATCAGAAGCCATGTGTGCAAATGGCTTAGCTGCCAAGTCTGCTTGAGTCTTTGGATACCTTTAAGGAACAGAGCTCCTCTTCCTATCCTAGACTACTATAAAAAAGGAAAATAAAATTCTACCCTATGTGAGCCATTGCATTTGGGGGTCCCTTTGTTACAGAAGCTTGGCCTATACCCTAATATTATACCAATAAGAATAAGGAAATGAGGGGTGCCTGGGTGGCTCAGTTGGTTAAGCAACTGCCTTTGGCTCAGACCCCATGATCCTGGGGTCTCGATGGGGAGTCTGCTTCTCCCTCTGACCTCCCCTTCCATGCTCTCTCTCGTTGTCTCTCTCTCAAATAAATAAAATCTTTAAAAAAAAAAAAGAAGAATATTCCTAAAAATAGGAAAAAGAATGAGTACTTCTTTCTGGGGTACTGGATCAGAAGCTAAGCTACCATAAAGATAAAACTTCTTTGAGATTTCTGTTTTACCTATGAAGTCATTACCTGGCATCCTATTTGATGATAACAGCCACATTTGATTTCAAATAAAAATACCTAAAATTATGCTGTCACTTCTGATGTAATGGAGTAGTTGTACCTTCTATTTGTCTGATAAGTGTAACTAAAAGTCCTAGACATTATATATAAAAGATGTATATATATCTGAAAGATGGAGAGAAGGCAGGCGGGCTAGGGATTCTGGGACCAGAGGAAGGACATGGTAGTAAAATCCCTGGGTTTTCTTTGTAACTCATATCCGGAAGATTTAGGAGCTAAAGAGGCCAGCAACACAGGAAAAAAAGGGCATAGACAGTCTCTAATAAAAGCCCACCTTCATTAGCTTAAAAAACAAAACAAAACAAAACAATACAAACAAAACAGTAAAAGCAAAGTCTAGCAAGACAGAAAACTTTTAGACCATAACTGCTCTATTCCAGCCAAACACCATGGTGGGGGGTTGGGGGGGACACCTGCTTTTCTCATATCAGAAAAGGCTAAATGAGGAGCCTAAACCTCTGTCCTTGCTAAATGACAAGACACCCCAACATCTAAGCCACGGTATTAGAGATGGCCAAGCAGGGGCCCAGAACCTATTTTTAACCCATGATGGCTGATAAGGAGCTACCCCTTCCTGTGTGGAGACCACACAGAGAAACTGGACTTTTCCTTACAGCAGCAATGATGGGACCCTCTCTCTCCCAGCTATAGGCTGGAAGAAAATTTTGCAACCCTCATATCCAATAAAAGACTTGTATCTAACACACATAAGGATGTCAAAACCTTAACAGCTTAAAAAAAAAAAAAAAAAAGACAACCCAATCAGAAAAATGGACAAAACCCCAGCATTTCTCTTACTAGTATAGAGATGGGGCATAGGGGCATAACATGTTCAATACCATTTACATTAAGGAAATGCAAATTAAAACTAGGACTGCTTTTGCAGAGCGAAGGAAACAGTCAACAAAATCGAAAGACAGCCAACAGAATAGAAGAAGATATTTTCAAATGACATATCAGATAAAGGACTAGTACCCAAAATCTATAAAGAACTTATCAAACTCAACACTGAAAGAAATAATCCAGGCAAGAAATGGGCAGAAGACATGAACAGACATTTCTCCAAAGAACACATACAAATGGCCAACACGAAAAAATGCTCAACATCACTTGGCATCAGGAAAATACAAATCAAAAACACAATGAGATATCACTTCACACCAGTCAGAATGGCTAAAATTAACAAGTCAGAAAAGGACAGATGTTGGTGAAGATGCAGAGAAAGGGGAACCTTCCTACATTGCTGGTGGGAATGCAAGCTGGTGCAGCTACTCTGGAAAACAGCATGGAGGTTCCTCAAAAAGTTGAAAATAGAGCTACCCTACAACCCAGCAATTGCATTACCCCAAAGAAACAAATGTAGGGGCACCTGCACCCCAATGTTTATAGCAGCAATGTCCACAATAACCAACTTGGAAAGAGCCCAAATGTCCATCAACAGATGAATGCATAAAGATGTGGTATGTATGTGTATACACACACACACACACACACACACACACACACAGAATATTAGTCAGCCATCAAGAAAACGAAATCTTAAAAAAAAAATAAAAAAAGAAATCTTGGGGCGCCTGGGTGGCTCAGTGGGTTAAAGCCTCTGCTTTCGGCTCAGGTTATGGTCCCAGAGTCCTGGGAAGGAGCCCTGCATCAGGCTCTCTGCTCAGCAGGGAGCCTGCTTCCCTCTCTCTCTGCCTGCCTCTCTGCCTACTTGTGATTTCTGTCAAATAAATAAAATCTTAAAAAAAAAAAAAAGAAAGAAATCTTGTCATTTGCAACAATGTGGATGGAACTAAAGGATATGCTAAGCAAAATAAGTCAATAACAGAAAGATAATTATCATATGATCTTACTCATTTGTGGAATTTAAGAAACAAAACAGAGGATCATAGGGAAAGAGAGGAAAAAAATAAAACAAGATGAAACCAGAGATGGACACAAACCATATGAGACTCTTAATCATAGGAATCAAACTGAGGGTTGCTGGAAGAGGGTAGGGATTGGAGGGATGGGGTAACTGGGTGACGGACATCAAGGGGGGCATGTGATGTAATGAACACTGGGTGTTATATAAGACTGATGAATCACTACCTCTACCTCTGAAACCATAAGGTAGCCTTAAATGTTAATTAATTGAATTTAAATATAAAATAAAATAATTTTTAAAAACTCATCTACTGAGATGATCATATGGTTTTTATCCTTTTGCATGTTAATGTATCATGTTGATTTATTTGCAAATATTTAACCACACTCGCATCGCAGGAATAAATCCCACTTGATCATGGTGAATAATTTTTTTTAATGTGTTATTAGATTGAGGTTGCTAATATTTTGTCAAAGATTTCTGCATCTATGTTCATAAGACATACCTGCCTACATTACTATTTTTTTGTAATGTCTTTATACAATTTTGGTATCAGGGTAATGTGGCATTATAGAATGAATCTGAAAGTTTCCTTCTTCTATTTTCTGGAATGGTTTGAGAATAGGTATTAACTCTTCTTTAAATGACTGGTAGAATTAACCTGTGAATCCACCAGGTCCTGGACTTTTGTTTGTTGGGAGTTTATTACTGATTCAATTTCATTGCTAGTAATTGGTCTGTTCAAATTTTCTGTTTTTTTCTGA